CACTGGTACCTCACCTGGACTCCTCGGTTTCCAGCCACCGGTACCTCACCTGGACTCCTCGGTTTCCACCCACCGGTACCTCACCTGGACTCCTCGGTTTCCAGCCACCGGTACCTCACCTGGACTCCTCGGTTTCCACCCACCGGTACCTCACCTGGACTCCTCGGTTTCCACCCACCGGTACCTCACCTGGACTCCTCGGTTTCCACCCACCGGTACCTCACCTGGACTCCTCGGTTTCCAGCCACCGGTACCTCACCTGGACTCCTCGGTTTCCACCCACCGGTACCTCACCTGGACTCCTCGGTTTCCACCCACCGGTACCTCACCTGGACTCCTCGGTTTCCACCCACCGTTACCTCACCTGGACTCCTCGGTTTCCAGCCACCGGTACCTCACCTGGACTCCTCGGTTTCCACCCACTGGTACCTCACCTGGACTCCTCGGTTCCCACCCACTGGTACCTCACCTGGACTCCTCGGTTTCCACCCACTGGTACCTCACCTGGACTCCTCGGTTTCCACCCACTGGTACCTCACCTGGACTCCTCGGTTTCCACCCACTGGTACATCTCCACGTGCCGCCGCAGCTTCACCGCTGGAATGTGGACCCCATAGTTCGGATCAGACAGGAGCTTCAAAAAGAATCAAACAAATCAAAAGTGAATACATAAAAAACAGAACCACACCGGCCCAGAATGCCTGGCTCAGGGGAAGCTGGACTAGAAAATAAACAGACAGAGGACCAGGACGGGACAGGACAGAGAACTCTACGTTGCTTCACGTAGGAGAATGGAGTGAAGCTGTCTTTCCCAAGTTCTAAACCAATGCCTGTGACATGTGCCTCACAGCACAGGCTCAGGCAACATGGCCCAATGGCCCTGGAAAGGTCCAATAACCAGAGTACCTTCGTAGCCTTGCACTAGACACACATGCTAATCATAATCATTAAAGCACCTATTTGTGAAGCTTATGCCACATGCCAGGCACTGTGCCAGGATGTTAGCTACTTAATCCCACCCAGTCTTCAGAACTGGCCCCCCAATTTGTTACAATTCTTCTCCCCAATTTACAGATGAAGATGTTGAGACTCAGAAGTGATGGGTCCACACAGCTGCTGAGTGTGGGGTCAATAATCACACCCATGTGTGTCCAAAATCCTCAACCGAACAATGTCTAGTGATGTGCCGCACGCCTCCGGGGGGTCAGCAACCATGGTGAAACGCACCTTGGATGTCCGCAGGGCCCCAATGATGTGCACCAGCCTCCCCTCGTTCTCCGGAGCCACACTGTGGATGCTGTCAGGGGACACCACAAGTGAGAGCCCCTCAGCCAGGGCGGTTGCTGTCTTCAACGCGCGACCCTGTGAGCAAAGGGGAGTGAGCATTTCAACAGCTCAGGCGTAGCCTGACACAGCATCTCAGGGCAGCATGGGCCTCAGAGAGCATTGAGACTGACGTTCCCATGTTGCAGTTGGAAAACTGAGGTCTACCAAGTGGCGGTGTGGGGACTGAAACCCAGGGTTCCTGCTTTCCCAGGCAGACCTCTTCCCACCACCCCACTGCCTCCATACTAGAGCTAGCTGCCGTTTTGTCTGCCTTGTACCCCTTTCCCTATTTTTGTCTGCTTTCTCCTCCCCTTCCCTACTCAGTCCATGTGATTTACTTGGGTGTCAGTCCAAATCATGTGACCCAGGCCTAGCCAATCAGAACATTTGTTCATTGGCCATAGGGACTGGTTCAGAGTAAACACTGAGACCCAAGCCAGGACTCAGAGATCTCCCTGCAACTGTTGCTAAAATCATTTAGAAGGAGATGGTTCCTTTGTTCTCTGGGGCTGCTAAGCTGATTGGATATAAACCTGGAATTCCTTTGCCACCACAAAGGAAGAGTCTGCCAAAAAAAAATCTACAACAGAGAAACACAGACAGCAGATAAAGAAATGGAGATTCCTAGTGACCCAGCATAAATGCCTGGATGCAACCATGCCTAAAGCTGGTGCTACCCCCAGGATTTCAGGTGTGTTAACCTATCTACTCTCTTCTCACTTATTTTGGTTGGGGTGGGATGTGTGTGTCAAATCACAAAGAATTCTGGTGAATTCAACATCCCCCTCTCTCTATTGTAAAATCTAAGTCCTTATTACTAAATCCAGCCTCTGGATTCACAGCCTTTGCCCCCTGACACTATGGGGAACCTCACGCTGCACAGACCCTGAACAATTTACCTCATTGGTAAAAATTAAGTAGAAGGAGAGTAGGAAGGTCACGAGCCCCACAAACATCCCACCCGAGGTCTCGCTCAGCCGCTCCAGGAAGCCTGGCTGGGGGTCAGTCGTAATTTTGACATGTTCTCTTCTATTACTCATATTAGAATACTGAAAAAAAAAAAGAATAAAATTTAGTTTTTAAAATAAATCAAATTTCATTATTTATACTCAGTTTTCATCTTAATTATATAGGTAAAAATGCACAGATATTAAGTGTACAGTTTGATGGGTTTTGACAAATACATACCCCATTTGACCAACATCCTGGACAAGATACAGAACATGTCTATCGCCCTAGAAAGTTTCCTTGTGCCCCTTTCCGGCCAACACTCCCCTCCCCCCACCTCCCAGAGTTAACTACTATAAGCTGGTAAGGTGGGTAGAGATGACACCCCCAGTCCACATTCTGAATCAAATTCCCTATGAACAGGATAATGGAGACTTCCTCTGCTCATCCTCACTACCCACCCCTACACCTATCCTAACCTGAAGGGCACCCTCCCGAGCCTTCTGCCTTCCCTTCCAAGTCATCTTGATGTTGGCTACATAATGAGTGTTGAATACCTCTATGTATCCTCAGTGACACATACCCTTCCAGTCCCAGCACGCTGGGCTCAAAAGTAATGAGCTGTGGGAACAGAGGTCAACACACAGGCCCTGAAAATCACTTGCTGTGAACCCCTGGGTAAGTTGCTCTACCTCTCTGATCCTGTGTACTCGTTTATAAAATGGAGATGGTAAACAGAACCTGTGACAGGACAGTGGTTACACTGCTTAAAAAATCTTCATCACCTGCCTGCTCCACCCCACCAGGGCTTGGTGGCTCCTCCCCTAAATACACACACCGGGCTACTAGAAGCAACAAAGACTTGGCAATAGAGGATACCCAAATTCATCGACATTCCTTGGCAAGGGTCAGGTCCCAACATATCCCAGATGGTCTCTGCCCACCAGGATGGACCAGGATGGACACTGTGAATTTTTTTCATATATTAAGTTCCTACTTCACACCAGGCACTGTTGAAAGCATAGCCTCCCTTAAACTTCCCAGTAACCCATCCCACTAGAGATCAGGGCCACACAACTACAGAGAGGAGGAAAGTGGATTTGCCCCCAGGTCTGCCTGACTCCAAAGCCTGCCATTTTCAGCACCTTCCCCTGACGTCATCTGCCAAGCTGGCTGTGAGACCTGGGCAAGTGCCTTCCCCCGCTGGGGAAAGTCTCCATCTGTAAAATGCGGTGGTGGGGGTATGGGGGCGGATAGGAGTCCACCTTTAGGGGTAAGTGAGTCTCCTGACTGCCCTCTCTCCTGGCAGACCCTGGGCCTCATGGACCACCTCTGAGGCCTTTCTAGGTGCAGCATTCAAGGCCTCTAGGCCTCGAAGACAACTCTAATCTGGGGCAGAGTGGCTCGGGCTGTCAGCCACACAAACTCTGCCTCTCAGAGGGTGTGGGAGGTAGAGAGGATCCTTGGAGACAGAGAAGGGGTGGAAGGAGGGTGTGACCGGCCAGGAGAGAGTGGGTAGGACACTCCACCACAGCGGGAGGGAGTGTCTGGGGCTGGCCGGTTCCCCAGCTGGCTCCAGAAGCACTTTCACAGAGGAAGGGAGTGGTGAGTCACCAGCTTCTCCCCTAGGCAGCACCCTGGTGGAAAGGGCCGCTCGATTTGTTGAATGAATGTTGCACTTAAGTAGAATGGTTCTTGAGAAACGCTGGCTGCGGGGAGAAGAGGCCAGCGGCCTTTGGAAAGGATTCACCTCCAATCGGGACCTTTCTAGCCAAACCCACGCTAGGAGGATGAGCGGCCAGGCAGCAGGGAAATGCGCCCTCCTACGGTCGCCCTACCTCCTCCGCTCCCACCAAGACCTCTGCCCGTCCGCAGCATCACAGCCTCGGTTCACCTACCCGCCTAGGCGGGAGCTCACTGCCTGCGCAGAAAGCCCTGTCGGTCCCTGCTGGACAGCTCCGCCCGGGCGGCATCCCCCTCCCCACCCTTCCCGCGGACTCGCCCCCTCTCTGAGGTCACGTCCAGCTCCGCAAATCTGGGAACAAGGGCCCCGGCGGTAACTGGGGATGAAGGTGGGGCTGCTGGGAGGTGCCGCGCGCAAGTAGATCCCAAATGTCCGGGGCAACACCTCCTGAGTCTCCCTGCCCACAAAAGCGCGCCCAAAGAATACGGACAAAAGGAGTCTGGAGTCTGGACAGGCTAAGAGAAATGAATAGATGGATTAGCTGCCGGGAGGCATGCAAACAGCATGCAAAGGGAGCCAGCGGGACGCACAGACCAGGGTCAGTCGGACAAGCAAAATGGATCCACGGGAGGAAAGAGGCCCCGTGACGGGGAAGTTTGGGTGTGGCCCGACAGACCAGGGGACACTCACATTCGCGGCCATGGTGAGGCCCGGCTCGCCGCCCCGGCTCGCTCTGCTCAGGGAGGAAAGGGGTTTACGGCCAGAGTGCGGACGACCTCTTGTCTGCCTGAGTTGCGAAAACGCGCGTGAAGCCCAGAACCAGAGGGGATGTACTACAATGTTACCGCCCCGTGATCTCCAGCCTCTCTGCTCATGCGCGCCGCAAGGTCTTTTGGAAAACGTAGTCCGTGGTCAGGCACTTTCGCCACAAAGTTGCAAAAGGCCTTGTATGTCACTGATACGCCTGCGCATTGCAAGGCTTTCTGGGAAGTGTAGTTCCCGCTGCCCGGCGGCGCGCGGCCTGCTGGGTATTGTAGTTCCCTGCTGAGGAGTCCCCAGGCTGGGGCTGGAAAGGCGCGGATGCAGGCGCGCGGCGGGCAGGCCTGGAGGGGGCGGGTTCAAGTGGGCCTCGGAGCCTCCCGCCCTACCAGAGGAGAGGTCACGGCGTGAAGCCGCCGCTGCCGCTGCCGCCGCTACCGCCGTGAGGTCTGAGCGCTGGGCTGCAACCATGGCCTACTGCCGGCAGGAAGGTAGGGGGGGTGAACTGCCGAGGAGACCGGCCTACGAGGCCCTGCCGGGGTCTGCTGCCTCCGCACGCTTGGGCACCCGGCGACCTCATTGCCGGTGCGGGCAACCCCAGGCTGTCCGGGGTACCCTCCTCGGGACCTTTGGAGCTGGCTGGGCGGCGGGGTTGCCACCCCCGTTTTGCAGATGAGAAAACCGAGACTGGGAGGAACGAGGCTGTTCCAAGGTCACACAGAGGCTCGAACCCGGACCTCAGAGGTGCCGGCTCGTGGGGGAGTTTATAAACTAGACCCGAGCGGGTAAGGGGAGTGCTGGGCACGTTTCCCCTCCGGCTCGCGATTGGGAATTCATTGTCACTCTTACTAGCGCTCTTACCGCACACCACGTGTTACCATTTGCACGCGCCTTGTAACTGTCCTGAAAAGTCATGCGGGTTAGGCGTGATAGAGTGGTAGAAGTACCGGCAACAAGAACGTTTTTTAAATATATTTTTATTGATTTCAGAGAGGAAGGGAGAGGGAGAGAAAGAGAAAGAAACATCAATGATGAGAGAGAATCATTCATTGATCCTCTGCCTCCTGCACGCCTCTAGCAGGGACCGAGCCCGCAACCCAGGCATGTGCCCTTGACCGAATCAAACCCAGGACCCTTCACTCTATCCACTGAATCATAGGGCTAGGACAATAAGAACATTTTTTTTTTTTTTTTTGAGTCCCAACTATATATCAGGCACTCTTCAAGGAGCTTTATAGGGTTTGTCATTGATCTCGCAGCGACCTTTGTAAGTCAGGCTCAGTTAAGACCCAGAGAGACTTGGCTAAAGTCACGTGATGGGTAAGTCGTGGAGCCGGGGTTTAAGCCCTAGCAGTCTGGGTCCAGAACTGCACCATCCAATCTGGTGCCCAGTGGATTCCAGGGAGCCCTCTTCTGGGAGGACACCCCCCACGCCCCATCCACACACACACACACACACACACACACACACACACACACACAGTTCAAAAGCCTCCAAGCCTATTTCCAAACTTGTAAAATGAGAGTTAAAAGAAATTGGCCTTCATTCATTCAGCAGATATTCATGAAGAACCTTCTCGATCCCAGGTGATGGGGATGGTGGAGAAGCTACAGAAAGAGTGGGAACTCACCCAGAAATTCTTTGGCGAATAAATAGTCCGGCTCCCTCACTTTAATTGGGGGAATCTGGAGCCCAGAGAAGATGACCTACCCAAGGTCATAAATCAAGTGAGGGGAACAGTTAGTCTAAAATGTTAAGCCTTTTCCCTCGCCCCACCTTGCTTCTAGATTCCTCCTTTCCTGGGTCGTAAAGCCATGGTAATCATTGATGTTGCTAATGAGAACGATTTATGTTGACTAATGCTTAATTGTGCCATGGATAAAAGTCCTCTGCCCTTGCCACTCCGTTAAACAGTGGGTCTCTTGTTCTTAATTTTCTTTCTCTGAATCTCTCATTTCATCATTTAACAAGTAATTTTGAGCCTTTGGGGTGTGATGAGGCTGTACAGATTAAAACCCCTCCTGGACCTTGAATATTGCTAGGAATCACAGGTTATCTGGGAATGAGAGTTAGGTTTCTTCTTCCACCAAAGCATTGATCCTTATCTTTTCTGAGTTCAAAGATCTTTCTTAGTTTAGGGATGAGAATTGAAAGTACTCTTATCTAGTTTTTATCTTATCCATACCCACTGCCCCTAAATCCCCAACTTTTTGGTTTTTTTCTACCCACCAATTTTTTTATGCTTCTCCTGGGACTTAGAAAAATGGTCACAAACTCATTGCCCTGTAAGGGCTTAAAAGCTAAGAGAATTAATTAGATGGGCTATATTCGCCATATTCCCAAGATCTAGCACATGGCCTGGTCTATAAATGGGTGCTCAAGTGTTAATCGAATAAACTCATACACGGACCTGCACTCTGTTCTTATTGAATCGCTTGCCTGTGCAAATTTACTTCACCTCCCAGCCTCAGGTTAAAGGCCTTAGCTTGCATTCAAGGCATTCCACAGCATGGCTCAGCCTTGCTCCCTGGCCTTGGGGTACCCACACTTGCCTGTTCCTTTCTTTAGTTTCCCCCTTTTCTAACACTGAGCCTGCCCTCTCCTGTTCAGTCAACAAACATTTACTGAACCCCTATGGCATGCCATCTACTTCACATTAGTAGTGAACACAGGTGACAAAATCTGCCTCCATGGCCTGGTGGACACTCCTGGGTTGGGTATGCTCAGAGACTCTGATGTAGTGATCCAATGCATATCCATGCTGCCATTCCGGGGAAAGGTGAGACCACCCACCCAATAGTGTTGTCGGAGTGCTTAACGGTGATAATCATTCTGTCTTCCTGCCCCTCTGCTGCATGTCCTAATCCAGAGTTCCGTTTCTCCACTTAACTCTTTCAACAATAATGATTACCCACTATGTTCTGGGCACTGTTCCAGGCTCTGGGGGTACTGCAGTGAACGGAAAAGACAAACCCTTGTGCCTAAGGAGCTGACATTTCACTGAGGGAGATGGGTGGTGAATAAATACATAACACGGTAGGTGAAGAAAAGTGCTGTGGCGAAAAAGAAAGCAGGATGACGGAGATGCAGAATGGTCAGGGAAGGTGGCATCCTAGCAGGTGGTAGGAAGACATGCGAGGGAGGTGCTACTGGAGGAGAGAACAGCCTGTGCAAAGGCCCCGTGGGGGGTGTGTGCTCAGCATATTCAAGTGAATGCAAGAAGGTGCTGGAACGTGGGAGCAAGTAGTGGAAGGTGAGGTCCTGTGAGGGATGCAGATCTTTCTAGACATACTGGTACTTAAAGCTAGAACCAACCTCATTTGATGGTGGAAGTGTGAGAGAAGACAGGCGTCAAGGGTGGCTGTACAGAGTAAAACTCCACAGAGTTAGTGAGTCTTGGTATCCAACTGCTCAGCCCCACTCTGAAGTCCTGTTTTCAGAATGACCCCTGGAGCCTTGGGTTCCCACCCTTCCCAGGGTCCTGGAGTGCGGATTGATTTTCTCTAGTTGACTGCCTTTCCTTGTGAGCCTTGGGTCTAGCGTCTCCATTCATTGCACCAGAGAGCACTTTCTGTCAGCTTGTCCACGTCTAAAACTATTGGCATCTCTCGCCTCTGGTGGCCTCTTCCTGGCCATTTTCTCCTTGTCATTTGAGCGGGATTTCAGTTGAGAGCAGAAACTTGTTTCACTTTCTTTGTTTACCATGGTAGGTAGGCTGAGCTGGTGAGGGGCCTGTTTTTCTGAGTCCCCCAAGGTCAGGAGGTGCCTGACTACCCCCCTAGTTGGCATTCTTAGGACTGGTTCTAAGTTGGCGTGCTTAGGATTGGCTCTTTCTTCCATAGTTAGGACTGTCAGGAGTAAGTAAGCATTGTCCTTGCATTCACTTTTAAACATTCCAGGAAGCGAAGGCCTGGGAATATGTATATTTCTTATTATAAATCACAGTACCACATCCGTCCATCCAGTATAACCTCTCTAAGAGGGATGTCCAAGAAGATGCTTGCAAGGACTCAGCCTGTGGGAGGAACCTGAACATTCTCGGAGGGACTGTGCTAGGCCTGGGACTCGCACGCTGGCTGTGTGTCACAGCTACCTGTGAAGCTAGGGAGCAATGTGAACGTGCCAGAGTTTGATTTAATTTCCGTTGGGTGCGGCCTGGCCTCTGGACCTCCTTATTGGTCTGGGTCTAGCTGAGGTCTTGGTAAACAAAACTGTCAGAGCTGAGCTGAGAAATTTGCTGTCAGCTTATTCTGCTTAGCATTCAGCATTTTTTGCAGGTTGCTTTCCAGTGTCTTGAAAATGACAGGACCACCAGGGTCGTTAGTTACTTGAATGTGCCCTGGCTGCTTGGCCCAAATCCTTTCCCAGGCCATGTGGGAAAAGCAGTCTTCCCTGGGATAAAATGTGAGGTGTGGAGGCAGAGACCAGCTCTGGGCATGGAAACTTCGGGTCGGCTGAGGTCCAGTCCCTGTGCATGCTGAGGGTCACCTGTTGGTACTGTTACCCGTGCGGAAAGGATGTGAAGCACCCAGGCGCCTTCCCTCTGTCCCCTCACCTGTCCTTTTCACTGGAAGTGTCGCTCTGCTTCTTGCTGTCACCCCAAGCCTCTTTCTTAAATGTGGCAGCCCATGCATGTCCCCACCCCCAAATAAAAGTATGAAATAGTGAGAGAAAATGCCAGCAGCTCTCAGAGAGCCACATTTCTGCAGGCCTGGCCTCTGCTCCCACAGTAGCTAATTCAGTCCAGGCCACTGACTAAGGCTTGTCCAAGAGCACATTTGGATGGTGCCTGGCACCTCCCATCCCCTTCGATGAGGGTCTCATTACCCCAGATCTCCTGGGTCACAGGGGGTAGTTAGGGCTATGGAATTTGTCTTTCCCTTCAGCAGCTGGGTACCAGTAGCTTAGAAAAAAACTTATTCATGCACTCAGCAAACATTCATTGACTTAATTCTAAGCTTCTTGGTCAGGAATTGGGTCAGTATTTATTGTACAGAACATTTTTTTTTTTAAATATATTTTATTGATTTTTTACAGAGAGGAAGGGAGAGAGATAGAGAGTCAGAAACATCGATGAGAGAGAAACACCGATCAGCTGCCTCCTGCACATCTCCCACTGGGGATGTGCCTGCAACCCAGGTACATGCCCTTGACCGGAATCGAACCTGGGTCCCTTGAGTCCGCAGGCCGACGCTCTATCCACTGAGCCAAACCGGTTTCGGCTGTACAGAACATTTATTCCTGCCCAAGCGCACACAGCTCTCAGGATAGAGTCCAAGTGATACTGAGTACTCAGTGTCAAGCTGTCATTATTATTCTTATGTTCGTGTTTTTGGGGACAGTGTAGGTGTGTGGAAAGGATCTCCATAGTGTGGCCTTTGGAGTTGCAGAACTGGATTCAGATTCCAGCCCTGTGTGAACAGATCACTTCCCACCTTAAAATGGGGCTCCTGCCCTAGCCTGTATGGCTCAGTGGATAGAGCATCAGCCAACAGACTGAAGGGTCCGGGTACGATTCTGGTCAAGGGCACATGCCCAGGTTGTGGGCTCGATCCCCAGTGGGGGGGCTTGCAGGAGGCAGCCGATCAATGATTCTCCCTCATCATTAATGTTTCTCTCCCTCTCCCTTCCTCTCTGAAATCAATACAAATATATTGTTCTTTTTTAAAAAATGGGGCTCCTGCTGTCTCCTGTGAGGGTAATGACAAGATGGCAGGAGCTAGCTGACATGCAAGACCCAGAGGGGCCAGCCCTCCAGGGACTGCAGGGCCAACTGATGACCATGCAGCATGTGTGGCTCTAGGACAAGGTGCTCCCCACTCACCGTGGGATAGGAGAGATACCTGCTGTGTAGTTAGCTGATGGCCACAGGTTTTGGGAAAGTGAGGACAAGTGCCAACAGCTACAAGGTGTAGAGGAGAGAGTCCAGTAGGTGAGGTCCCTGCCTTGCTGGTTGATTTTGAGTCACCACTCCGGGCTTTGCTTTTTATGCTATGTAAAATCAGGGCAATAAAACTTTATAGGTTCACTGAAAGGTTAGTTGAAGTGAGCCATGGAATACACCCATCCTGGTTCATTCAATGCTGGTTCCCTTTTCTGTGCTTCCCATGAGAAGAACCTCATATAAAATGCATTTGGCCCGGCCAGTATAGCTCAGCAGTTGAAAGAGGCTGCCGGTTAATTCCCGATTAGGGCACATGCCTGGGTTGTGGGCTCAATCCCCTGTGGGAGGTGTATAGGGGGCAGCCGATCGATGATGTTTCTCTCTCATCAATGTTTCTATCTCTCTATCCCTCTCCCTTTCTCTCTCTAAAAATCAATAATTTTATTTATTTTTATTGTATTATTATTATTTTTTAATGCATTTGGCTCCTACCAGTTTGCTTTTCTGGAGGCTCAGGGCCCTCTGACAGCCAGGTTCATGGGGCTAGGCACAGTGGTCGGCAAACTCATTAGTCAACAGAGCCAAATATCAACAGTACAACGATTGAAATTTCTTTTGAGAGCCAGATTTTTTAAACTTAAACTATATAGGTAGGTACACTGTTATTAACTTAATTAGGGTACTCCTAAGGCTTAGGAAGAGCCACACTCAAGGGGCCAAAGAGCCGCATGTGGCTCACGAGCTGCATGTGGCTCACGAGCACGGGGCTAAGGGTTCTGGCCCTGACTAAGGTGTCTTCCTGATGCTGGTTTTTGGTCTTTGGAGGGCATCAGTCCTGGCTCTGCTGCCTAGCCTGTTATGTTTGGGTTTGTTGAATGTTCTAAAAAACAACAAGCTGCAGATTGTCACAGATGTGTATGTCAAATTAGATGCCTCAACCCAACAGTTTAATATAAGCAGGTGAGCCTCCTTCACTGTAAGTCGGTGTGATTGGCTGCCTCTTAGCTGGGCCCTGGGGTAGGCCCTTTAAAAATAGTTTCTCAGCCTGGCAGATGTGGCTCAGTGGTTGAGCATTGACCCATGAATCAGGAAGTCACAGTCCTTAGTAGGGGGTGTACAGGAGCCAACCGATCAATAATGCTCTGTCATCATTGATGTTTTTCTCTCTCCCTCTCCCTTCCTCTGAAATCAATTAAAAATATTTTTTTTCAAAGTGTAGTTTCTCAGATCACTATAATCTTATGGGTCTTGGGACATGAGTGAGCCCTGTTGGTTTTCAAAGTTAGATGTTGGAGGGCTCATCTCTCAAGTGTGTGTCTTCAAAGCTGGGATGCTCAGTGTGGGGTTCCCCCCCTTCGCTCCTCAAGGAGAAACTCCAGGTTTTGAGTTCTCTCCCTGTTGTGGGTCACTGTGGTGGGGGCGGGGTTTATGGCGAGACTGTGTCCAGGCCTCTGCCTCTGCTGCTCACTTAGATGTAGTTTTCTTCTCTTTGCCCAATGTGCAGTTGTCACAAGCCAGCCTAGGTTTTTTAGTGTGGGGGTTTTTTTTAGCATATTTTTATTGAAAATATATACGTGTGTGTTTTATTATTGATTTCAGAGAGGAAGAGAGAGGGAGAGAGAGAAACATCAGTGATGAGAGAGAATCATTGATCAGCTGCCTCCTGCATGCCCCCTACTGGGGATCGAGCCCGCAACCCGGCATGTGCCCTTGACTAGAATCAAGCCTTTAGTCCACAGGCCTACACTCTATCTACTGAGCTAAACAGGGTAGGCCAGCCTAGGTTTGTTTTTGTTTTCCAGCCTTGGTTTTTTAAAAAGGAAATTGTGCCACAGGAACCTGTAGACTCAGTATGTCCCTGGGGGAAGGAGAGTTCAGACGTTTCTATATCATCATCTTGAACACTCTTCTTTTTCTTTGGCTTTTTTTCTGGCCCTCATGCTCCAACCCTTCACACCCCACACCCCAGCACAGTGAGAGCAGCTTGTGTATCAGGTGGGGGTGCCCAGCAGCAGGCACTCCCAGCATCCCTGGGCTAGTAAGCCGTCATCATTCCACAAGTATTATCTGGACACCGACTGCTCGAAGATCCCTGCAAGGTCTGGGAGGAGGGGGAGGCATGACAAGTAGGAGGGGCTCACAGGTTGATGGGAAATAACATGGACAGTCAGCACCATGGAAGGACTGCTCCTTTCTTGACCTGAAGAAAAAAGACTTGTTGCATCACCAGAATGTCAGCCAATTTGGGGACTAAAAGAAGCTGCATTTGGTAGGATTGGGCATCTCATCTCCCACGTGGAGGATACCTGTGTGGGCAGGGTTTGCTATCACCATCCTCACCCAAGACCTTGGTGGAGTTTTCGTTCCAGCCACAGGTACTCGGTAAAAGCGGCTGCTAAGCCGTGCATCGTGCAGAGTCAGTGACTCAGCCCAGGGAGGGCAGGTCGATGGTCACCTAACTTTGGGGTTTCACGTGGGACATTCCTCAAACTTGGTGTGCTTGCCTGTTTTGGACGTAGGGCTGATTTCACTGCTCTTGAGTGAAAGGTTTCTTCCTCTGCTCTCCAATCACTAGGGAAGGATCGAATTATATTTGTGACCAAAGAAGACCATGAAACTCCAAGCAATGCAGAGCTGGTGGCTGACGATCCCAACGACCCATACGAGGAGCATGGTGAGTGGCGTGGGGCCTCCCAGGGACCCACGGACATGGACTGAGGGAAAAGTTCATTGTTCAAAAATGGTCTCCCATTGTGCCCTAGCCAAGGCAGGTGTGCATCTCAGCCATGGGCCATCTCTCAGGACAGTGGGTTCATCGCCCTCAGAATTGTAAGGGGCTGTTTTGGGCCCTTGTTCTGATGCACTTCCCTGGCCATTAGGCTAGAACCTACGAGTTTCTCCTTACTGAAGTCTTCTGCCTCTTTTTCTTAGTTTTTGTGTTGGCTTAAGCTGCTGGTTGGATGCTTCCCAGTGACTATGTTTCGGGAGAGGGTGTCAGTGGATTTTAGCAGTTCCAAGTAGGTTAAGGTGACAGGAATCCCCCTGTTCAAACAAGTTACCACGCTGAATTCTGCCACATCTACAGACTATTAGCAAGCAGGTACCTAATAGCCACACCCTTGTTCTGTGAGGTATTTTCTCCTTGTAGGTTCCCCAACAAGCACCTTGCCGGAAAAGCTCACTTGAGATAGAGGGACAGTGTTCTAGCAGCAGGATTCAGCTAACCAGTTACACACAACTCAGTTAATGGTCACTCGGGCATCACTCCAAAGACTTTGGACTGTTGGGCTCACTAGGACTTACCCAGCCTGTGTAAGGCAGCTGTGTATGTGCAGTATTCATACATAGTCCAGGTTTCATAAACAGTACTCACTCCACCAATCTAAAGCCTTTTCTGACATCCCTGGTGATAACAAACAAGTCTTCAGTGTTGATTGGTGATACATATGATTAAAAGAGCTGGTAGGAGCTGCCTGGAGAGTATGGGCTCCTGGTTGGGATTTTTCAAATGCTAAGAATAAAGTGTATGTTCTTAGGTAGGACACTGTTTACTACCCTGGCTGCCCCTAGGGATAGAGGAAAGCTCAGTAGGCATTATCTAGCATCTTAAGGGGACAGTGGGAAGTGCAAACATTATACAAAGTATTAGATTTCTGAGAATCACAGCTATAGGAGTAATCTTAAATCACACTCTAATAAAGAAAAGTAAATCACACACAAATTCTAGTCCCTTGCTTGTCTTTAGATCCGTATTAGTTAAGCACATTTCTTTAATTGATTGAGTCTGTGTGGGGCCTGCAGGACAAATCAGGTTTGGTTTTGTCTGCCTCATAGTCTTTTTATAAAAACTGAATGTGTCTGTCTTTAGATTGTGCATTCCCCCTACTTTCTGCCATTCTTTATCACTACGCTTGTTTTTTTCTCCTATCTGCTTGGACCCTATAGGTATTTGCCTTTGCAAGCCCTTCTTGTGAATAATTGTGTGAGGAGGTATATAAAACAGAACTCTGGGACCCAGGATCTGAGCTCTCAGTTGCAAAATTGCTCGTCTTAAAACATGCTGCATATGCACTTAATTTAACATGCTGAAGCTACCACTGATGTGTTTTTACATTGTTTCCCTGAAGTGCAAATTGGCTTCATAGTGTCCTCTGTGAAGCACTACTGCGTTCTAGCTCACCTTCCTCTGATAAACAGTGGTACAAGGACTCCTGCAGACCTAATTATTACTTCTTTTTTTAAGGAATAGTGATAGTCCTTTTTTAAATTAACTAGAGAGAACGAGAGGAAAGGAGAGAGCGAGAAAGGAACATCAATTTGTTGTTCCACTTATCTATGCATTCCTTGGTTGCTTGTATGTGCCCTGACCAGGGATCAAACCCAAAACCATGGCATATCGGGACAACACTCTAACCAACTGAGCTACCCAGCCAAGGCCTGAACTATTACTTTTTAAAAATATATATTTTTATTGATTTCAGAGGGGGAGACAGATAGAAACAGCAATGATGAGAGAAAATCATCAATCGGTTGCCTCCTGCGCACCCACACAGGATCAAGCCTGCAACCCGGGCATGTGCCCTGACCAGGAATTGAACCCTGACCTTCTGGTTTATAGGTTGATGCTCAACCACTGGGCCACACCAGCAGGGCTGAACTATTACTTTCAATGTTAGCATTATGATATATTTCTTTTTGCAAACTGCTTGTGCAGGTGTGTTAGCATTGTTGAGCATCCAGGGGGCAGCGTTTGTATATGCTCCCAGCGCTGACAAGGCCTGCGAAATTGGGAGCGGTGGTGAGATGTGGAGCAAAGAGCATGGGCTCTGGGAATCCTAAGGGCCCTCGCTGTAGTCCTGACTTAGACCCCACTGAACCCCAGAAACCTCATGTGTAAACTAGAATTAGAAACACCCACTGCAGCAGGTTGACAGAAGGATTATGCGATTTACCACATATAACTTAATGCACAAAAATGTGCATCGCAGCTGTCATTGGTGCCAGTGGTGAACTCCCTGCCAGTCTCATTACCATCCCTACTGTTAGCCTGTTTACTAGTGAGGAGCCGCAACAGCAGATTTGTTGATCACTGAAGCTCCTAAGGTAGAATTAAGAGACAGGGTTCAGCCTGGGCCTAGGACTTCGGACGCTAGCTCAGAGCGCCAGACCTGGGTATTTCCCTGGAGTGAAAAATCATGTGTGATTTCACTGGGCACTTAGAGTCTTTTTGTTTTGTTTTGTCTTGTTTTAATATATCTTTATTGATTTCAGAGAAGGGGAGACACAGATATATCAATAATGAAAGTGAATCATCCATCAGCTGCCTCCTGCACACCTCCTACTGGGGATTGAGCCCACAACCCGGGCATGTGCCCTGACCGGGAATCAAACCGTGACCTTCTGGTTCATAGGTCAACACTCAACCACTGAGCCACACCAGCTGAGCAAGAGTCTTTCTTAAAGAGTGCTTACAGTCTCTGTAGTCAACTTGTGTAAGAGAATTCTGCATGAATCATATTTCTGTCCATGTCTGTCACAAAGCTGAAGTTAAGCCATCATCTTGAAAGCATTTTGGAAAACTGGGAAATACTATTTAGATGTGGACAAAGTTCAAAGATAAGAAAAAATGTAAAGTTAAAAAGGGAAATGAAAATCCGTCTGAAATTTCAAACTCTCCCCAACAGTGCAACAATTTGGTTAATGTAGTTAGTCTCCCTCTAAGTTTCTCATTTTTGTAAGAATGAACCACACCACTTTGGTATGCCACTAGCCTTTTTCTTGTAAACATGTCTTGGACATCTTCCCAGTCAGCACAGAACAATCAAACTTCTGGTTTTTACCATTTTCCAGTCCTCACACTGTGTGTGACTTCTGAGAGCAGCCACAGAGCCAGAGGGCTTGAGGAGCAGCACCCATGGGCGGGGAGCAGAGATGGGAAGGAGGAGGTCAGTGCCTCAGCTTGTTAAAGTGTTTGGGCTTTCCAACGGTTCTCATTAACCATCCAAGTGATGGCTTCTCCTTTGGACTAAATGGATTCCAGCAGGTAGCTCTTCGAGCACAGCCACAGTATGGGGCGTGGCTTAGAATATAGTTAGTGTTGCACGTGGAGAAAGTCTCACCAATGGTGGCTTTTCTCCAGCTGAGCCAGGATTGCTGGATGTGCTCCAGGCATTTGAACCTATAAGAGGTAGGTCCACAGGCAAGTGCCTGCCGGGCAACAGTTCATGCTGTTCACCTCTTAAGTGGCCTGGGAGGACAGGACTTGGTTTGGCTTGTTCTGAAACCTTCAAGAGCATCTCTCACATTTTCCTTACCCACCTTCCTGTTCCAGGATTGATCCTGCCCAATGGAGACATTAACTGGAACTGCCCGTGCCTGGGGGGAATGGCTAGTGGCCCCTGTGGGGAACAATTCAAGTCAGCCTTTTCCTGCTTCCACTATAGCACGGAGGATCTCAAGGGATCAGACTGTGTAGACCAGTTCCGGGCCATGCAGGAATGCATGCAGAAGTACCCAGACCTCTATCCCCAAGATGAGGAGGAGGAGGAGGAAGAGAAGAAGCCAGCAGAACGTTTAGAAAAGGCAGCTCCCGCTGAGGCCACTGCAACCAAAGAAGAGAAGGGGTCAAGCTAATGAAGGCCATGCTGCAGCACTGGCTCCAGGCCTTCCAGTCAGAGTGATATGAACCTTTTGCAAATGCCTTTCGGTCACTCTCCAAGAAAGTCTTCCCCTCTATTGTTCTGTGCACTGTAATGTACAAAATAACTTATTTTGATGATCAGGGGGTTTGGCCCCTTGACATATACACTGAAAAACATGGGGTTATATGTTTGTATCTCACATAACTCCTCTACCAGTGACTGTGGCTACTGTTTTCGAATTCTCCTCTGAGATTACCTCTAAGTTTGCCACTTTGAAATAATGTGCTGAATACTCTCAGCAACTAAAAATCATTAGCTAGGAGTGTCTCTTGTGAGTGAGCTGATTTATTCTGATTCATTATCTCCCTTTTAGTAGATTTTATACCCGTTTGGGAAATGAAATAGAAACAAAAACATCTTCCTTTAAAAATGCTGGAATGGGGCCATTCCTAATACAAGAGGCCAGATAATCAGATACTTATTTCTCAAAAAACATCTTGACCTTGAATATATTAGATACTAGGCTTCATTTCTGATACATTTTGGTTTCCATTTTCATATTGAGCCTCAGGTTTTCTTTCTAGAGAGTGGAGCTTTGGACCCTCTGACTCACAGACACTTTCTAAAAAGAAGAAGCTGGTTTTGCTGTTCTTGTTATTCCAGAAGCCCTGGTTGGGGCCTGTGTTCACACTGGCTCTGGCTCAGCCTGTTCAGATGCAATATTCTTGAGAGGTGGGGACCTACTTGTTACCAAAGTAGCGACCAAGAAGGAAACACGAATTAAAAGGAGAGCACGGTTTTACCAGATTTTGAATGTGTCCTTTCTTTTTACTGATTAAAAATGTTTTTGATGTAGGGAAATATAAATTATGAAAAGTTCAATTGAAACTGCTCTTTGACCCAATTTTCTATGTTGAGTTCATATCAAGCAGTTTTTGTCTCTGAACAGATGCCTTCCTAATCCATGAGGTGGGGCAGGCTCTTCCCATTTGAAGATAAGGCTAAGTAACTTGCCCAAGGTGTAACTGCCAGGCAGTTTTCAGGCTGTGATGCAGTAATGCCTCATTTGTCCCAAGTGTATTGGTTCTCTATTGCTATGTTAAAAAATTACCTTAAAACATAGCAGCTTGAAACAAACATTTCTTATCTCACAGTTTCCGTTGGTCGGGATGATGGGTTTGGCTTCACTGGCTCCTCTGGCTCAGCCTCTCACCCTGAGATCAAGGTGTTGGCCAGGGTTGCAGTCATCTCAGGGCTTGACAGGCTTTCAAAACGACTCGGCTGGTTTGGGGCAGGAATTCAGTTCCTTGTGGCTTGTTGGATTGAGGCCTCAGTTCCTGATTGGCTATTGGTCAGAGTCCTCCCTCAGTTCCTTGGCCCGTGGGCCTCCTTAAGTCAGCTCAGCATGGCAGGTGGCTTCCACCAGAGAGCAAGATGGAAGCCAGAGCCTTTCGTAAATTAATCTCAAATGACATTCCCTCGCTTTATCATCGTCTGTTAGAAGCGAATTACAGCCCACACTCAAGAGAAGGGACACAGGGCATGAGAACCAGGAGGCTGCCTACACACCAGAAAACAAGGTAACAGCACATTAAAGCTGGAAGCACAGATGTAAGGAATTGTGGGTCTGAGGTGTTAGGGAGGTAGAGAACTGCTGTCTATAGTCGGAACTTGTTAAAAATCAAGAACATGGAGCTATGACAGCCCTGTGAAGGACCCTTGTGACTTAACCTCATAAAGGGCCTTGCACATATGTTGATCACCACCCAGATGGTACTGATTTGGGAACATGTCATGGATCCTATTCATTCGATGCATTCAGGAAACCTCTCCAGTTCCAAGTCCTAGGGACATGGGAAAGTGAGTCACATGGTGCCTGCCTTCCTGCATGAAGTCAGCATTTACCAGAAAGAAGGAATGGATGGGTAGTGTGTGATGGCACTGGATTCTCAGGGTAAATTGTTTTCTGCTAGCAAATGGTCATTTACAACAGACTCTCAAGCTGATTTTGCCTAGTCCACTTGGTTAGACTAAAGATTCCATTTTCCCCATTTTTCAGTAGAAAAACAACTTGCCGATAAGAGTTGCCCCCTGCATAAGCAATGGAGAGTAGATGGAGATTATGCTTTAGTATCAGGGGTTTGAATAATTCTTTTTTTTTTTTACTTGAAAATATTTTTAATTGCAAATGACATATATTATTGTATTAGTTTCAAGTGTTCGGCATAGTGATTAGACATTTATATAACTTAGAATGATCACCCCAATAAGTCTCGTACCCATCTGACACCATAGTTATTACAAGGTTATTCCCAAGTTGTTATAGGAAAAACAAGGGACAGAGGAACATGTGAAATGACACAATGGAATGCAATCAACAAATTGCAAAACAAAACTAAAGAACAAAGGATGTGATTTTCTTCACAAATAAATTGCAAGAAAAAACTTTTCTTCAAGACGGCAGAGTAGGTAACTCTAGTTATAATATTCCCTCTGCCTGTGACTGTTCATTTATTTTGTTTTTTAGATTCCACACATAAGTGAAATTACGTGGTACTTGTCTTTCTCTTGATTGACTTATGTCACTTAGCCTAATACCTTCTAGGTCCATCATGTTATCACAAATGGCAAGATTTCATTATTTTTTATAGCTGAGCAATACTCCATTGTATACATGTACCATTTTTTTTTTTTGTTAATCCTCACCTGAGGATATTTTTTCCATTGATTTTTTTTTTAAATATATTTTTATTGATTTCAGAGAGGGAGCAATAGAAACGTTAATGATGCGAGAGAATCATTGATTGGCTGCCTCCTGCACGCCCCACACTGGGGATCGAGCTTGCAACCTGGGCATATGGCCTGACCGGGAATTGAACCATGATTTCCTGGTCCATAGGTTGACACTCAACCACTGAGCCACACCAGTCGGCCTCTGTTGATTTTTAGACAGAATGGCAGGAAGAAAGAAACATCAATTGATTGCCTCCTGCACACTCCCCAACTAGGGCCGGAGATCGAGCCTGCAAGCAAGGTATGTGCCCTTGACTGGAATCAAACCCAGGACCATTTAGTCTAAGGCTTCAACCACTGAGCAAAACCAGCTAGTGCGGTACCATCTTTTCTTTATCCACTTGTGTATCAATGGAAACTAATCTTTTGATTAGAGTGTTTAAACCATTTACATTTAAAGGAATTATTGATAGGTATGCAAGCTGGGTGGGGAGAAGGTCAACAAACTTTCTATTCAGAGCAAGTGAGTCTGAGTAAATCTGTGCACCGGCCCCTAAGGAGAACCTGGGATTCCAGCAAGCAGCCCTCTCACTCAGCCAGAATCCCTGCCGGTTTTTACAGCCAGAAGTTATGGGGATTTCTCTTCCTGGCACTGGCACCCCTCACTCCTGCACCCTGCAGCCCTGATATCCCCCCACCATCAGGGTTTCCTCCCCCCACCCCATTTCTTTTTAAATTGTATTGATTTCAGAGAGGAAGGAAGAGGGGGAGAGAGAGAGAAATATCAATGATGAGAGAGAATCATTGATTGGCTGCTTCCTGCATGCCCCTACTGGGGATCAAGCCCACAATCAGGGCATGTGCCCTTTACCGGAATTGAACTTGGGACCCTTCAGTCCGCAGGCTGACACTCTATCCACTGAGCCAATCCAGCTAGGGCCTCCTCCCCCCCAACACACACACACATTTCTTAACTGCCACACTAATTGTGGGGCCTGCCCCTTCCACATCTCCAACCCTCTTAACAGAATCAATGTGGCCTCTGAATATCCTTAATACATAGGACTTCTGTTTAGCTAGTCTTCAGGCTGTTCTGGAGGGTTTGTTCTGTAGTTTACTTGTAATTTTGAGGTAGTACTGGGAGAAGATGAGCATAGCATTAACCTACTCTGCTGTCTTGATGAAAATTTTTCCTTGCAATTTATTCATGAAAAAAAAAATCACATCCTTTGTCCTTTAGTTTTGTTTTGGAATTTGCTGATTGCATCCCATTGTGTCATTTCACATGTTCCTTGGTCCCTTGTACTTCCTATAAACTGGTAGCTATGGGGAGCTTTTAAAACTGCACATGTGTCTGGACCCCACCCTAAAAATGTATTCAGTAGGACTAGTGTGGGTGCTGGGAATCTCTAACTTTCCTAAGATGCCTAGATGAGTCTGAGTCTGTTTGCATCATTCCATGCACCAAAGGGAGGCGGGTTCAATTCCCAGTCAGGGCACATACCCAGGTTGTGGGTTTGATTCCCCGCAGGGGGCATGCAGGAGGCAGCCGATGGATAGTGCATTCTCACATCAATGTTTCTCTCTCTCTAAAAAACAAACTATTCTTTAAAATAAATAAACAAATAGAACACTTAGAAATATGAACAGATCATTGGAAAAAAAAACTCAAAAGTTTGAGATCAGGTTTAAACATCACCATTGGCCAATGATTTAATCAATTATGCCTGCATACTGGGACCTCCATAAAATCCCCAAACAATGGAGTTTGGGAGCTTCTGAATTGGTGCCAGGAGGGTGGCTCTACCAGCTCCATGGGGACTAAAGCATCTGGGACTCTTGCCCTATGCACCTCTTCATCTGGCTGTTCATTTGTATCCTTTATAATGAAAACATATGCTTTATAATTTATATATATATATAAAAGCCTAAGTGACCGAACGACCGACCGCTGTGATGGGCACTGACCATCAGGGGACAGAAGCTCAACACAAAGGATCAGCTCCCTCCTGTCTGGATTGGGCCTGTGGGGATCAGGCCAAAACTGGCTATCCAACATCCCCCGAGGGGTCCCAAATTGCAAGAGGGCGCAGGCCAGGCTGAGGGACCCCACCGGTGCACAAATCCATGCACTGGGCCTCTAATAAATTAAAAAGAGTAGTTTGTTTTTTAAGTTTAAGCAGTTTGCAATTAAAATTAATTTGAAGATAGTACTTTACCAGAATGCAGCATAGTCTATATACAGAGATTTTTTTAAAAGAACAATTATTAGATATTGAAAATATATTGGGCAATTTCAAAATAAGTTTAATATAGACCTGAAAGAAATTAGAAAAGAAATAATGGAGGAAATATACAATTACTGAAAGACTTTGTCCTCAGGTAGAAGTTGCACACAGTAGAGAAGCTACAGAAAAATCAAAGATAATGGGAAAAAATATAACTATCTACCAGGGAAAGAGACAACTTTTCTAAAATGAATGTGTCTCATTTTGTCACAGTAAAAATGACAATGGATCACTCATCAGCAAAACAGATGACAGGAAATAAATTGAGTAATAACTTCAAAATGCAGAGGTATCATAGTATGTGGTAGTTCCCAATAGAACCTATATATACAATTAAACTTCTAGGGAGAGAAAGCACAGGAATATTTGCAAATATACAAATAATACGAAATCTTACTACTTATAGTGCCTGTTAGAAATCTAAAAAGAAATTTTAAAGGGCATTTTTTTCAAGAAGAAAAGTTCATTTAGTCAGGAGCAGCTTCTTGGCTTCTGTGTAAGTCTATAAAACTTGGCTCTAGTTTAGAGTCCGCTCTTGAATGGCAGATCAAATCACCACCAACTGTGCAGTCTGTCCTATGGTCCTTGCAGTTCATGTCATCCTATGGGACTCGGTGTGTGGGGATCTGACAATGTGCTGATCGGGCCTGAATCTATTTGGGCTTGTTGCATCCTCATAGGCTGACTCTGGGGAAATGTGGCAAGCCAATCTTGCAGCCACAAAAGGATCCCTATGTCCCTTTGGGCCACAATGCTGCTGCTTAGGGATCGCTTGACAGTGGGTAA